AGACGGATTTCAAAGAAACTGTCTAAATCTTAACCACACACATACACAGATTTCTCCTAAATGATCGATGCCCCAGCTGTGTGTTTCCAGCTTAGACAAAACTCTCAGGTTGAAATGACAAGACCGAAACTGCTAGTAAGCCACTGCTCTCGGCAGCACAACACCTCTTGGTACACTTCAGAAATATTTTATCTTTTTCATGTACAACCTCAGAGTCGCTGGCTTTAATAGCACAACAAGGTGTCTGTTGCTTTTCTTTAGTTTAACTCAGCTACCACTAAAATGTGCTCTTACTGGATTATTTATCTTCGTGTACAAGGTTATGCTTCTCATTTGAGGATTTCTTATCTTGATAAAATCAGACACTACTTTTAACACACTGATATCAAGCAGCTCCTCAAACTTCCTGCTGTCTGCTGAGACATCTTAACATCTTGGCTTCCAACAGATATATCGGTGAGCTCAGTGAAGTATTTTATGACTCAAAGATGGCAGCTTCAATTGCACCAGATACAGAAATAACAATGTACACTAAATCCCACGAAGCTGTTAGATTATGTTGTATTATGCTATAAGGAACACCATGCAAACCAGCTTTTATATGCTTGATCTATGCTACAATCACACTCGTATTTGACAGTGATTATGGGAGCGAGGTTGTGTGCTGAGTGACATTATTCACTGTGGCGGATGGTTAATACTCCTTCACCCTGCCATTTTCCAGCGGCACAGAAGGCTTTCATAAAGCCGCAGCAAGGCAGCGACAATGAGAGGAGAGTTTTAGGAGATTTCGAAGACTGACATGCAGGGTGAGTCACCGGCAGAGAAAAAGGGGAGACGGAAAAACAAAAAGAGACCGTTTAAAAGTGCACAGGAACAAGCGCAGACACAGTATTTACTGGTGTTTGGCATTTCTCAAAGGCAAACAGAGGCACCGTTTTGCAGAAAAACCTGAGCTTAGTTGACTAACTGTCCAACTTTTATATGTGTGTGTGTGTGTGTGTGTGTGTGTGTGTGTGTGTGTGTGTGTGTGTGTGTGTGTGTGTGGTTGGTGCACAGCAGCATCAATGTAGTGAAAACACACATTAGCTCTCTGTGAAATGAAAGTAAGTTTGTTAATGTCACTATTCCATTTTGTATTAATCTATCCATTAGGTGTTAGCAGTACAGCAAGTAGGTTGCTTCACAATAACATCCAAAGCAAATCAATAGACACATTAGGGCCCTCTATTAAAACACACCCACAGTGTGTGTGTGTGTGTGTGTGTGTGTGTGTGTGTGTGTGTGTGCAGGCCTGCGCGCACATGCATGTAATCCCTCATAAATGGAAACGGTGATTATGCATTACTGACAAGAGTCATTGGTTATGCTAGACAAGACAAGTGCGTGTGTGCGTGTGTGCCTGTGTGTGTGTACACACTTGGCATTCATTAAGTCGAAACAAAACAAGCGGCAGCAGCTGAGTGTGTGTCTTGGCTGAGACAACAGAGAGAACAGATTCAAAGAGAGCCAAAAGTGGGGTTCAGTAAAAAGAGGCAGAAAAAAAAAGTGGAACAGAAAAGAGCGAGACAACGCAGAAATTAAGTTAAGAAGTCTGTCTAAGAGGGGTACTCAACTTGTGATCCACACACTCACACTCGGCTCACACTTTTGCTGGGCTTCATAAGTTTGTATTCGCTTTCGCACATAGCAGAACTATTAGCTAAACTGCTGCAGGCAATGCAGTGAAAACTTCTTTTAAGCATTAATCAGATGAACATCTTGATCTAATTCTTCTGGTTCCAAAACTCTTAAATCACGTCAGATGTGCTCGAGACTTTAGAGGTTAGAGAAAACTAGCAGATTAATGATGTTTAACGTAATTGTAAGGACTGACATCCTACCTACATGCTCCACTGTGTACAGAATCAAACCACAAAAATGTCCTCGTTCCTTTAGAAGGAAACCACACTGGAAGACTGTTTTGATTGTATCCTGTCAGAGCGGTAATACAAAATTAAAATACTCATTTCATTTAGGACTGTAGCACACATTTACGAGTCGCTGACAAAGTGCGAAAACTGTGACAGCTTATTGGAGAGGAGGCTCCTGTAAGAGCAGTGTGTGTGTGTTTTACGACTGAGCTTATGACTTGCTTCATGGGTTACACAAAATCTGAAACAAGAGCCTGCTATGGGAGTTGCCTTGATTAGAAGCAGGTAAATACGCAGGAAGCCACTTTATCAACGTGATTCAAATGTGGGAGCGGAACAGGAGTGAGGGAGTATAAGTAGGTCAGTAAACCGTGGCATTGGAGAGATTGTGCTGGGCTGTGTGAACGTAAGTGTGTGCGTGCACGGCCCAGGCTTGGCAAGGGGAACCCCATTTGGAGAATATGGTCATGCTGGTAAGAGAGGGCTACAATGAGTTGGCATGTTTGAGGGGATGTGCTGCCAGTCTCTCCACCAATCTCAGGAGCATGGGAAGGCAAACACAGAGTTGATCTCAAAGACTTCTAAAGGGGGCCGCTTCCTGCCAAAAATCACTCGCACCTGTCCTTCTGTCTCTGCCTCTCTTCCTATTGCTCTCTCTCTCTCTGCTGCTCCACCCAGTCTTTCTCTCTCCGTCTGCACTCGATCCCTTCATCCTCTCCCTTCGCAAACTTTTTCTTCACTCAAAATTGGAACCAGCTACGCCACCGCTCCTCCCTTCTGTTTCGGCCGGTGCCAGGTGTAAAAGCTCCTGGCATCCTCACAGTTAGTCCTGTTTAGGAACAGTGCGGGGCAGCCATGCCAGGGCACCGGAGTCATCCTTCATAAAGTACAGACACACACATGCGTGCAAAATAAGCTTTTTTTAAAGGAGGGCATGAGACACTGCCAAGTATTGGCTAGGCTTGTGTTTCATTAGCATCAGATAGAGAGCTTTTCTCCATTCAGGTTCGCTGTGTGTGTGTGTGTGTGTGTGTGTGTGTGTGTGTGTGTGTGTGTGTGTGTGTGTGTGTGTGTGTGGTGAACTAATGAAAACCACAGAGCAGGATGGCCTCTGACTGAACTCCACTCAGAGCACTACAGGCCATCAGAGCACGAGGAAATAAAAAAAAAACTGAGTGTATCTTTGTTGCACCTTTTTTCCTTCGTTCCTTTTCTTTCTTGCTAAAGAGAAGTGGTCATGCTTTGCTATAATTTAAGCCAGAAGATCGCTCGGTTTTAATGCAACACTTCCTGTTGTTGTCATCAGTCCACATCAATCCACACTATCGTTCTCTCACTGACTCTGAGACCAAGTGCTGCTACGCTTTTCTTCTACTACGAGCAGAAAAACCAAGTCTTGTGCACTTTTGTTTTGATTTCACAGACAAGGTTGTACGATTTCTTTTAATCAATTCTGCAGAGTAAAACTCCTTTTATATTTGAGTCTCAAGTCTGGAAACAGCCTGTATTATCAGTCGGAGCAGCGGCCACCTGTTTCAAATCCAGGTAGATGAAAGCTTGTAATGACCAAGCTGAGATTTTGAGGTTACAGTATCGAATGACAGCTCGGAGGACTTAGGCAGGTGCTTGACATGCAGTGAATGGAGCCTGTATGGGCCGCTCATTACAGAAGGACATCTGCTGCAGTCCAGCCCCCAGACTCCGCCTCTAGCTTTACACTGATGCTTGGATGCCCTGTCAATGTGTGCGAGGGACCAGGGGCAGAACAAAACCACACACACACACACACACACACACACACACACACACACAACTGAGCAGGCATGCACCCATGTTCACACACACACACACACACACACCTGCCACCAACAGTAGCCGTCTGCTTGCGAAACAAAAATATAAGAAAAAAAAAAAAGCTTATGGCTGCTGAAACCAAACATAGGAACAAATGTAACAGTGCAATGTGTACGGTGCAAGATGATAATAAAAAAACACAAGCTCCGAGACACGCTTTAACTATTTTAAACCTCCGGCACACCCTATAGATTTATTGTAAATCGTATTTTCCAGCTTGTGATCTCAAACCCGTCGTCGTGCTGAATGCATTAAGAGCATCACATTTTCCAAAGATCATTAATACGTCATTTTCCAAGAACATTTATCTAAAGAGAGCAGCATTTTGTACAACAATCTCTGAAAATGACTATTTTTCACAGACATAATCAGTTTCAATAATTCACGCATTACATAAATGCCTTCATAAAATAAAATAAAACATTGAAATGGCTGTAAATTAACTGCCTATTGTGCTCTGCAACAACTTCAGTGTTTAAATGATTAATTTGGAAGTGCATGGCAACATTCTTTAAAGTGGCTAATTATAAATGGCTGGAGTTGCATTTGCATTAAAGGGTTGAAGGGGGGTTGTCCTCATTAAAGAAGCTCAGCGCTCTTTAAATGGTGCCACTATTTACACTACTGTGTTGACTATCATTTTCAGTTGAAGAACGAAGGGCACTTGCTCTTCTCTAAACATTTTACTGCATACACTTGAAAGGGGGAGAAGCAAGAAAAAGAAAATACGACAAAGAGAGTGCACGGAGAAAGTTTATAAATCATCGCAACGAACAATGCTGCACTGAAACATTTTGAATTGATTTTCCCGGGGATGTTGTAACAGAGGATACATGTGAGGCATGGTGAGAGAGAGTGAATAAATTACAGAAGAAGAAGAAAAAAAAAAAGAGCGCAGATGAGGGGAAAAGAGGAAGATGAAGCGTGTGTGTGTGTGTATAAAACAATGAAGAGAGCTTGAAAGCAGCTGGTATCATGTGGCAACTTATGAAAGAGCTTAGGAAAGTCATCACAACTCAGCTGCATACAATTGTACATCATATGTGCCAAAGTTTCTCACACATTCACACAGTTTTTTGGTACCAACTCGCATGTACAGACAGCTCAGATTTCTACACCGATACGAGACGCGGGGCTCCGTAAAGCTCTTCATAACCCAGTGACACAGAAGCGGGATTAGGAAGCATGCACACACACACACACACACACATAAACCCTCACACACAGACTCACCTCTTCTTTGCAGGACCATCCTCACAGTACTCGCTGCTCCCATCCAGGCCTTGAGAGCGCAAGGACCCATCTTCTTTGTGGCTGCCCTTTGACCCCGAGCCGTTCAGCTGCCCATTGGCTAAGGAGCCTGAAAGCACAGAGCAAAAACATATTTACCAACTGCTTGTTTGCAACCTTCCACCTCCGGATATCTCGCATGGTTCTCTGTCAATTAACCATTCCTGAAGCTAATATTGTTTAAAATATCTCTCAAGTCTTTGGGGAATAAACTGTGTTTTCATCTGACAGTGTTAATAAAGCCTTGTATTTTTCCTTTGACTAGTAAAGAGCTGGAACACAGAGTGGGATCTCTTTTGATAACACTATTGTGGTTTTGCTTTATAGTAGAGGGAGAGAGAGAAAAGAAAGAAACAGTGAAAAGGGCAAACACACAGAACATTTCAACTGTACAAATACACCGAGCTCCTGAGCCAAATACATCTGCGGTCAATGTTGAAATTCCAGCAAATTTGAAGTGACAAATTCGCATACACTCCTTAAAATCACGTCTTGCTACATCTATTGCAGCACCATGGGGGCCGTTTTTAGAGAGAAGGGAAAGTTACTCATTCATTTTCCTATTCATATTTTCCCTTGTCAAATGCAGCTGTTGTTGTCTGCTGACATACGTGATGTGCGCCCTCTGACAAGGAATTTTTTCTAAAAAAAAAAAAAAAAAAACAAGCCTGAGGCAGTGAGAGAAACGGACAGCTATTGCAGGGCTTGACATTCTTAGTGAGCCCAATTGACTGAGCCCTAATTAAATATTTAGTGAGCAACTCACACAAACAAAATAAGCCCCCAGACAGATTCTGAAATCAAACGCAGCAACGGGCACCGAGAATTCAAATCAGGTCAAACAGAGGAGTGGAAGTCAATGGTAATTAAGGGAGACAACCAAATTAAATAGATATCACAAGGCTTGATTTCCTCATGGGCAGTTCTTGCGATTCTTAGAATGTGTCATCCAGGCCTGTCTGATTCAACAGCAGAGCGTGAATGAGCAAACTTAGCGGAGAAACAACTGGGGGAGTTTGGACTTTCTCAAGGTTATTAAAAAAAGAATAATGCAGGAGCTGCCAAGAAGTCTGCAACCAACTGGAAACCGAGGGGCAGCAACATGTTTGAAATTGTACAGCTCTTGCCAACTCAAGTGTGACTTTGCAGAGCTGAGAGCTGAAGATTTATATCAATGAGCAAGCAACGCAGCAATCAAACGTTTGAAGCTGACAACAATTTATCACATTTTAGCTCCTTCGACCTGTTTTGACAAGCGTTTGTGCCTGACTGGACTTTGGTGTGGCAGGTTGTTAAATTATTCATGCTCATTTTCGCAAACACCGATGATGACTCACCGATCATTCAAGCTTCCAGTGGTTTGTTTAAACACTAACTCATGAACTCTTTCGCTCTCAAACACCTTCCCACCAGCATGTAACGTCCCCATCGGCTGAACAATTCTTAGCTCTCTTTCCAGCACACCCAGTGAAATTCCATTTGACTGATGAGCTACAGGAATGTGTCAGTCACTCTGCGCCACAAACTCCCAATAGTGGGTGTCAGAAAGAAAATAAATTAAGAGAATTACGACAGTGGAGCATGGGTTAGGATAAGTGGCAACTTGAATGATATCCTGTTCGCGAAGACGCTACTGTTGAACAAGCCCGGGCACTGTGTCATCTGAGAAAGACAGGATGGGGAGGAGAGTGGTGAGATCAAATGACAATGTAGGAGACAGGATGAAGATGAGTGATTGTGGAACAGGTAAAAGTAGTTTCCAAACATGTGATTTAACTGAGATTTATAAATGTGCTTTGGGCTGAATGAGCACACACACATTTGCACTTTCTCATTACTCGGTAAACACGCGGGCCGTTAGGTTTGCTCGCACACGACGGGCAGGTCAGCACCTGAATGCGGAGGTACAGTCATCAGGCACAGTGTTGCGGTCAGAAAGTTGAAAAGAGCCGGCGCGATGAGTAAGCTCGTTGCATCGCTGGAAATGCCTTATGTTGGTGTTGGAGAGCCTCAAAGTCTATAGGCCAGGGGTGAATCACTGCCTTACAATGTCTTGGTTTGCACGAAAGGCTTACATCCGTATGCCTTTAATGAATAAAGAGTTTCGCTTAAAATCCTTTGATGTTTCCCTTTCAAGCCAAAGCACTACTTCACCAAAAGAAAAAGAAAAAAAAAAACTCACACGGCTCCGATTCTTTCACACTTTTTGAGGATAAATTCCAAAGTTTGTGAGATTTCTGAACTCCATGTGACCAGGAAAGAAAAAAAGCTCAATAGAGAAATTTGCCAGAACTGATTAAAACTGATTTGAATACGGTGCAAAAGAGTCTAATTCAAATTTTGGACAATGTTTTGCCAGTTAAATTCGCACCAGAGCAAAAACAAAATAGCTCATTAACTTTAATTGTACTCAGAAAATGACTGACGCATAATGTCCCCACAGAACGCAAACAAACAGGCGAGAGGCCCATTTCACCAGTCCCTCTTCTTCTCGTTTCCACTCCCTCCCCTCCGTGTATCTCCCCCATTCCTCCAAAGGGTTGTCTGACATATGCTGGTCGCACATGAGTGCCCATCTGAGGGGCAGAGCTGGGAATCTTGGGGAAAGCAGAGGACTGGGGATGGGCAAGTGTGGCAGAAAGGCAGGGATCCTGAACTCCAGCTCCTGAAGCGGCAGCAGGGACGCCGTCCCAATAGCTGGTCCTGTGGGGCGGGGTGGGGTGCTAATCAGATTTAGACGTGCTTAACTAAGCCCATCGCCGCGCTACGTTCACCTCGGTGTCTCGAGAGAGCAGGAGGGAGTGAGCGGAGGTACATAGCATAACATGGCATATCACAGGGCTGAGAGGAGCCTATTAGGGTGAGCCGCAGTAATAAGTAGAACTATAGCAGAGTGGTCGTGCCATGGAAAAGACAATCATCGGGGGCAGAAGGTGCCCTTATAGATTCTTTATTACACTTATAAACCCGGGCTGTAGGTAAAAAATGAGCGCAATGCCATATCTAATGGGCAGGGAATCAAATAAAGGCCTTGAATATAGCGATGCTTAAGTGCTTACTTGCTCGTAGGTTTGCAGATAGAGTAGGAAGTAATCTGCCTTTTGCCATCCCTCTCATTAATAAACTATTCTGCGCAGCTGAAGTTCAAAGCTAATAAAAGATCTCTTTTTCTTGCTTCTCTAAACAAGCAGTAAAATTTTGCATTATGCCCTCTTTTCAAGTCATCCTCTGTGCATGTTTACAATTAAAATCGCCGGATTAAATAAAAAAAAAAAGAAACAATGGTCAGTTTCATTTTAGGGAAAGCCCCCTTGCAGTATCCATTTCCAGACATTTTTCAGAGTAGAAGCACATGCTAAAACTCACTGCCTGGCAAGATGATTTGAAATAACCCCGAATATATTGTTCCTTCCTTCAAAAACCGGACCTCACAACGCAGCACGACGCTCACCACAAGCCAGAACAAACGCATACAACAATGTGCAGCTCAGAAACATGACATCTGCTTTGTGAAATTCAAGGCTATAAATCCGAAGCATCAAAGCATCAAAAATCGGGATCCTGTAATGGCTTGAGCTGTTGTGGGGGATAGAGCATGCAAGGACAGAGCAGATGCAATCTCTTTCCCTTGATTTGATATCCTTACTCTTGATGCTTTTATTAATCTCTGTTTATTTCAACTTCTAGCCTTCTCTACGCGCTGGTACACCTTCAGCCTGTCCTCCTCTTGTCTGGCGATGCTATCATCAGAGAGAGAACAGAGGTCCCGCGCAGTGTTTTAGACGCCACGGCTGCCAGTCTGGCCACGCGAGGGGAAATGCAGACGGACAGCGGAGTGACAGCAGAGTGAGCGCTGAAGGAAAGGGCATGATGTGCATAAAAACGGGTAGGAACGGCGAGTCCTGAGACGGGGCAGACAGACAGGAAGAGAAAGAGAGGGGACAGTCGGGGAAATGGGTAAACAGGGAGCCCTCTTTTCAGCCCCTCCTGGTATTTGGCGAGCAGCCAGCTCCTCCATCAACAGCACTCAGGGAAATGGAGAGGGAGGAAAGGAAAGGATGGGAGGGGAGACGGAGACAGAAGAATACGGCGGAGGGAGATGGCGAGGTAAAGACGTAGCTGCAATGATACGGCTACGAGGATACGGAGATCGGGAGAGGGACGGGTGGGAAACAGGGAAGGGAAGGGAGGAAGAATGGAAAAAGAGAGGAGAGGAGGGAGGGAGGGTTTGGGTGACAGATACTGTAGATAGTTAAGACAGATGGGGCAGAGGACAGGAAGGACAAAATGGAAAAGAGGGAGATGGTGAGAAAGAGGGGAGACAGAGACAGATGAAGGAAACAGGAGGGAGAAAAGGGCTTCGGAGAGGGGAGTGTGGGTGTGGAGATACATAATCGAGGAGATTGAGCAGCAGGAGGGAGAGAGGAGACAGGAGCTTGCAGAGAAGGCAGTAACCAGAGTCCTATTGATGTGTAATGAAATCCTGCATCGGGGGAGAGACAAACGGAAGGACAAACGGATGGAGGGGAGATATGGAAGAGAAAGAAAGGAGAGGAAGAGGAAGAATGCGGCCGCGGTAGAGCGGGTGAGGGATGCGTGGGTGAATGAGCGGAAGCTGGGATGCAGAAGGGCATAATGTCATTTGTTAAATAATGCAGGGAGCCAGCACGAGAGGCAGCGAGCGTGATGGACACGGAGACGGACGGCTGCCAACAGCGAAAGGTAAAGTGGCAGGGGAGATGGCATGATTGCTGGTTATGGGCAGGGAGAAGGCTGGGTGGGTGGGGAGATAGACTGACACATGCAGCTGAGTGACAGGCTGCCACACCCCCCCTCTAAAACAGATAGCCACCGCTGCCGCACGGCGACGGAGACGGACGGAGGAGAGGGAGGCGCTGGAGACGGATGGAGGTCTGTGGGGAGGGAAAGATGGATAGACAGAAGCCTGAGGAGGAGGAGGAAAATGCTGCTTTATTGAGGCTTAGAGTTAGGTATTGCTTTGACCTCCTTCAGTCAGATGACATCTACTTCCCAAAATGGTGGATGTTTAAATATATTCACACAAAGGGCCTTTTCTAGATTATACAAGAGTTTCAACAAACGTTTTCTTGTTTTTTCTGACAGTTAAATCTAAAATAACTCTCATATTTATCAAACAGCCCATCAGCAGGAAATGAATCAGCAAGAACTTTACTATTTAAAGTCATTTTTAGGCTTAAATTGCAGAAATTCTTTGATCCGCTTCTAACAAGTGAAGATTTTCAGCCTATAGTCTTGACAAAGAAGAGAAGTGCTGCAGAGTACTTGATATTTTCAAAAAATATATATTTTCTGACATTTTGTTAAACAAATAATAAACTGATTAAAATTGCTCATTGTGCTCAACAGTCCAAATCCCAAAGATATTGTATTTATGGTGACATCAGACGGAGAAAAGCAATAAAATTTCACATCTGAGGAGCTGAAACGAGCAAATGTTTGCCACTTTTTGCTCAAACAGCCGTTCAATATTACAGTTTCCCTTGATTAATTTTCTGCAGATCAAGTAAGCCGTTATGTGGTAAACCATTTACATATGACAGTCATCTCTAATCCATCATCTTCTCCAAGTCTCCCATATATCTTACGATCATTTATATTCGTGCAGGGTCTGACTCTCCAAAATGGCTGATGGTTTCACAATAGTGCCTGTGTTAGACTTAAAACCGTGGCACATGTCTGGCCCCAACATAAGCCCAGACTCTCTAACCCACAGTCCTCTAAAACAGCAGGGGCTGCCCATTCAGGATGTAGTGCATGCTGAGTGTGATCCTCCAAAATGGCTGACAGTTTCACCACAATGTCTATGCGAGATGGGAAACTGTGCCGCTTGTACAGCCTCCAAAGCCTTGCTAACCCACGGTGCTCTAAAACAGCAGGGCCTGTCTATTCAGCCCGGCTCCCTTTTGTGTCAGCGTGGGCTGCTGTAGTTACCCCCGGTGCGACGGGCCGCCGACGCTTTCTAATGAGTCATTTTTATTCAGGCGATAAGGTCAGCTACCCGCGGCGGCTTAAAAGGCCCTGAGGAGCTCTGGAGTGGCAGCGATGAGATGCCAGACAGATGCACGGAGACGCACTTGCTATAAAGGAGGGGAGGGGGGCATTCGGCACAGGCACGGAGAGAATAAATAAAGGTGTGAAAAAAAAATATCTAATAAAGAAAACATGACCATAATGGGGAAGGAGGGGAAAAAAAAAACATTAGGTATGAAAGATAAGCTACATTTCAAAAGAGACTTCCCTCCTTTCTGTCTGCCTGTCTCCCTTTCTGCGTAGCTGCACGACTGGAAGACTGGGCGTGAACTTTCAGAGGCTCTTTTTTCCTCCTGGTTCCTTTTCTTTCGGCGTCTGGGTTGTGTTAATGTCAACTGAGAATAGCTTCTGAGGCACGTGTGAAGTTCAAATCTCCGCTGTTGGCTGGCTGAGGGCTTTTTGTGTGTGTGTGTGTGTGTGTGTGTGTGTGTGTGTGTGTGTGTGTGTGTGTGTGTGTGTGTGTGTGGGAGCACCAGTGTCAAACAAAGACATGGTGGCAGCTTGGTTCAAAACAAGCTGTTCGTCTCCCCCGTGCTCTCACTCTTCTTGTGTTGTTTCAGGTTTACACAGCACAACACACAAACCGGCACTGTAGCCGCCTTCCACCTGGAATTGGATTTCTGTCTAAGTAAGCAATTTCAAGTATTAATTCATGTTGAGGCTTCTATCAGCCTGTGTTTTAATGAGTCCTGACCCCAGGGTGCGTGTAAATGTCCGCAGCAAGGAAAGATTAACAACACTTATACGCACGTTTTCTTGTGTGTGGCACTGAGGAAGACCTCATCAGAGCCCCCTCCGCGTGACGCGCAAACAACATTTGAAAACAAGTAGGAAATACTTTCAGTTCAAGGGCTCCTTTGAGGATGTGACACTGAACCGCTGAAGTGAAAGACTGCAACTCGCTGTCCACTGACCCACGGCTAAAAGCAAATGAGATTCCTTGATCATCTGTTCAAAGATCATCTGACAAATTTGGCAACTCTGACATTTGCTGCACAAAACGACGGTGCAGCAGTTTCTTTGCTTCTTTTATTCTGTCAAAATAAAGTGAAAGTTCTCAACTTGTAAAACTGTAAGAAGGGCAACTGGTTTTTATTCCTTTTAAATTCACTCCTTTGCAAAGCCAAATAAGGATCAACAAGTACAGGATGAAAGAAAGTAGATAGTTGCTGCAAATCATGTCAAAACTGAAGTCGTTTTTTTGAACTTATAGGGGCGGAAAATGTTAAAATCTCTTATGATTAGGATAAAGTTTGCTTTCACAAAAGTCATGTATCAAAGAGATCTTGACTTTAAGAGCAAAACATTTAAATAGTGTGTTCAAACCTTTTGGCTTTATTTTTAATTAGCAGCATTTCTAAATGATTTAAATGTTCTTTTTTTGCCATATTTGTTTGGTGACTTTTTGAGCTGTGCCATCTCTGATCGTGCAGGTTCAGGGGCTCGCCATGTTCATTCAGTTAAGCTGCTATTATATACCAACCACAACAACAACAGCAGACATCGGTGCTGTAATCAAACAGAGAGCAGGCCAAGGATGCGGAGAAGGCGACGAGGATGGATGAGCTGTATCTCCTTTCTGTCATCATGGACAATGAGACGGACCGGCTAACAGCAACAGGAATTACTCTGGGTCCCATTGCTAACATCGATGGCTTTCAATAAGGTTTGCCAGACAGGAATAGGCCCAAGAGTGGCAAGAAAAGAGATGGAAGGCATTTATTAAAGAGCTGGTGCCACCGTGGTCACAGCACCATAAAGGAACTTTTCTGCAGGTTAGCTGTGGGGCTACGTCCACTCCACACAGGACATGTTGTTGTTTACATCCCTCCCTCCACTAATCTGCCAACTGTGTGTGAAGTCATCCACTCTGTTCCAGACTCTGCATTGTATTCTTGTAAAATTTTACAACTTTCATAAATCTACGCAATTGGTTACAAAGCAGCTTCCCAGTGGGAATTATTGAAGTAATTATGATTCAAACTTTTTTGTTTTTACAGTTGTGGGTCATTGACTGGAACAAATCTGGTGTCAGTTTGCTTTTATTTGCTTTATTACCAAAGCATAAAACTACAGAGTGGAGATCTACGCATACTCATCTGGCATCTTTATTAGTGTCCATCCCAGTAAACATACACGAGTGGAAGGTTCAGATAAATCCAGTAATACAACAAATACAAGGATAAAACTAAACTCACCATTGGAGTTTGTGGTTCCATCACCATCCAGCTGCCGTTTCTGTGCAGTCCTAAACTCCTTTAGGGAGAGGTAAAGCACCTTTCGCATCACCCGCTCCTCCGACCACGGGATCCCATCACTGTCGTCCTGTGAAAACATCCAGAGAGAGAAAATGGCTCAGGATAAACGATTACCACAGACAAAAACCATGGGCATGGTTTCCTTCCAAACACTTTTACAACCATTATCTCTGTTTCTGTGCTTGTGGGGGGAAAAAACATTCCACGTAAATTATGTGAATTTGCACATTATGTTTCGAAAAATACAATCTGACTTGGAAGAAGGGACAATGAGCTGCATATTAACACAGAAAGCATGTTTGCAAGTCGAGCCGTTGTTTATGATGAGCTTTTTCCTTTGTTTTTGTTGCCTGACAACAGCGCTTCCAGAAAAGTGTGAGCTGAGGTCAAGGTCAGGAAGTGCTCACGGTCGAGTTGTGTTGAGACGTCCAAAAAAACAAGCTAATGTCAACACAGTCTGTAAATTTTCATAGTTTTCAGCCAAGAATTACAAAGTTACTCTGAGGTACTTTCTATTCACGAAGAACACCCTAAAAACTGTCAAGAGAAATACTTGTTGAACCAGTAATCGCTATTCCTGGTTAATATTTTAGTAATCTGAGGAATATGTTGGAGGATTTTTGTATTTTGCATTTGTCAAAAAAGCAGTAAAATAAAGGCAGCACAGGAAGATAAATAAAAAGTTATGCAGTTTAAATAGAAAAAGACAACAAAGTTTTAGCTTAATGAGGAATCCTTTTACATATTGTTCTGGTTGCATCCTCCATCTCTCACTACATAGTGACGTTACCATGCTATGACATTAGCATAACATAGCATTAGCTTGCAGCTAGACACAGGGCAATGCATTAGCATAACAATACATAAAGGGCTGCATCTCCCCACAATGCCATGATAGCAGAGTGTTATGGTGATGAATAGGTAGGAAGCAAATGAAAAAAGCATCATGGGACTGTGAGTTCATGTGTTGCTAATCTCTCCCAGTGAGACGGAGACAAAAGATGTTATTGTCAGAGAGGTCACCAGAAGTCACACACACTCACATACACAAACAGCACATCCTTCTCCGCGACGTGGCCTTTCTCTCCAGTCTGCTTCAATCTGAGCGACAAACGCATGACGGCAGAACGTACGGCACATCAAAGCCGCTGTTTATTCAAAACTCTCCGCTGCTCGTATTAGGAGTTTTAACAGCTTATTAGAAAAATATTCCGCTGCAGCGAGCATTGTTAAAAGGGTCTTTAGTGAGTGTCCAACAGCAATAACCATACTTCTCTCCCTCCCTTTGCTGCCTACACTCATTGCTCCGGCAGCTGTGTTTGATGTCGAACAACGCTAATGACTAAAGGAAATGAGATTAGGACATGAGCAACAACAAAGAGGTATTAATAAATAATGGAAACTGGAAATAGCTTTTCTCTAGTCAAGCCATGGGGCGAGTGGATTTCAGCTGTTAGGTTTGAGAAAAGAAAACACTTTCTTCCTTGATACAAAAAAAAAGCTAATGTATGCTAATTATTTGAATTAAAAGCCCATTTCCGATCCTGTCGACTCATCCCGGCGAGCACACTTCCTTCTGTCTGAGTCAAATGTAATGTAAGAGGCAGACGTGAAAAGCAACCTGTGTGGGAGAGCAGCGTTCTGATCATCCAGTTGACTCAGATCATTTGAGTTGGCTCTGCTAAGTGGCTGGCGGACACCGCGGTGACATCAGCGCTGGCTGTGTGTATTAAAACTCTCCACCTCAAACGAAAATAATTACACCAAGATGTTTTATCGCTGCTGTAATAACAAGATAGCGGTCCCAGCATTCCATTAAAAGCAAATGCACTCTCAAGGAAAAAAAATACCAAACAAAAGCAAAAACAGCGGCGCTGAGATGACTGTAGTCGAGATAACACAGAAACCGAGTCGGTGTGTCAGCCTGTTTCTCTGTGTTTATGCGTGTGAAAGAGAAAGTTAATATCATCCTAAAATTATGCATTCATCCAGTCAGTGAATAGAATGCCGCTGAAAGTATTTTTTGTTCAGTGCTGCTGATTCTCAGCCTAAGATATTCTATTCACAAACAATAAAACGTGCAAGCTGGAGATGATATGATGGATTAAAAAAAGTGTTGTCTGATCAGCGCCGACAACTCACTGCTAATTATAGCAACATCACAACAGTGTGTGTACAAAAGTGTCTTTGTGTTTACCTCAAAGGTTTACAGTTTAAGATGCAGGCTTTACACCGAGGTGACATTTCTGACGGGTTGCTACGTCAAAACTTGCAAAAAAAGGAAAAGTTGTTAAACCGTTCCTCACACTTTGGGTTAGAAGTCAGATACAACTTCATGCTGTCTCATCACTCACTGTACACTGTCTGATTCAACGACAGAACGTGATCTCACAGTGCTTCTCTCTGGGTTCATTTAAAGCTACAGGTGGCTTGTGGTGGCTACTGAGTATGATTTAGTGTCTCAAGTCACTGAAAACATCCTGTAATTAAAACAAAACTGGCATCACTTCGCTCACTAACTCTAAATGTTTTCTGACAACATGACAATATTGACATGTCTGAAGCTTGTGCTTGTTTACTGTGCTTTTGTGGTTTTGAGTCTTGAGCAGATAAAAATATGCTTTTGCATTGTTTTGATTTCCCAGGTCTGCTCAGGGGCCTTGGGGATAAGACCTCAACAGAGCTTGAGGGGAGGTAAGGGGGGGGGCAGATATTAAAATCTGTGTGTCTGCACATGATGGAGCTGATGGGTGACAGCCATGTCTGCCTGCATACAGTACGCACGCTGGCACATGTGCGCGAACACACACACACACACACACACACACACACACACACACACACACAAGCAAGCAGACCGCTCGGTGCACTGATGCTCTGCAGCCTGTGACAGAGGTTGATAGGGTATGTTTTGTGTGTAACGTGCAGTCCCTCATTACACTGTCACTTGCGAGCGCGCACGTACACACACAAGCGAGAGAGGCAGTGCAAGTATTCAATTATGCCATTTTCTCCTGTAGTTAATGTCATCTAATCCATTCCCCCGCGCGTGCATGTGTGTGCACGTGTGCAAAAGCCTGCCAGGTAAGCACCAATTACCTAGACAGCTCACTAGCATGCTTTCCCTCATGGTGAGGCGCAAGGCCAAATGTACACTGACACACACACACGGCACCGAGACAGTATATCTCACGGTTACAAACACACTCACATATACAGCTTCTATGGTATCTCTGCCTGACATACACAAACACAAATCACAGCTGTGCCGAGAAGGGGGGAGGGAAAAAAAAAAAGTCTTCACTCTAAAAATTGACCTTAAAGTTCGTCTGCATTTCTTTTTCCTCTTACTTTCTCTGTGGTTTCCTCACAGTAGTTGGCAGCGTGCCACAGATATTTCCTGCCTTATGTACACATAGCAACACGGACTGGAGAAAAAAGGAGGGGGGGGAAAAATGCTGACTGACTTTTCATCTGGGAAAAGAGTGACGGTGAAAGCAGAGCTAAAACCTCAGCGATATTTCTTTATAACTACACGAGTTCAAGTAAATGCGTTTCAACAACCACTGCTCAACTGCAGGGTGACCATTTGTCTGACCCGCGAGGTAGTGTGTCATCTGTTTTAGGCCGAGGTGTTCCTCTCCCTTCACTTTTTCAGCCACAAAGCCGGCCTCTGCTAGTGCCCCTCTTCTCTGGGTATTAAAATCGAGAGGTGATGGTCAGCAGTGGCTCGCAAAATCCTTCCAAAGACATCCACACTCTGCATGCCAGAGGGTGAGTGCAGCATGACAGAGGAAAGGAAACATCTACTCAAAAAAAAAAATGAAGCAATAAAGAAATGTGTTGCAGCTTGGCTTCTCAGTCAAACGTTGCTGTGCATATGTGTGTCTGCGCTTCTGAGGTACTGCCAGATCTCTTCAGAGACAGCTTTTACACAGAGAGCTACCTGGCACTGACACACACATCTACACCCCGACCAGCTCCCACCAGGCTAGTGGAATTCCACTAATGAGCGCGGGGACCTTTTCGGTGCACATGTGCGCGCGTACAACCAAGTGATGCCTCAGGAACATTGTGTGCCTACTGTCACCCGGCAACTCCACCCCCCTTCCCCACAACTCTTTGGAACACACACAGGTAATCCGTCCTGCAAACACCACACAAACACAAGACAGATATCTTTCGAGCATCCATAGGGATACCGTGCTTGAAAAGTGTGCCATATAAGATCCATCCATCGCTTCTTTTCCTGCCGTGTCTGCTCCCACTGCCAAGATATGTAAAGTGTAAAAGACATATACAAACATCATATCTTACATCCTGGGTTTCTGAAACACTTCACACCATGAAAGCTCTTCAAAAAAGAAAAAGATCAAATGCAAGGGGAGAATATACTCACACCTTTTCTTGCATCGTTAGAATTCTGCAGGCTTCAAAGTATAACAAATCTCTGCGTTTTCTGTTGTTGTTGTTGTAAGATTACACTGAAAATATGCATATTTATATCGGTTGGAGCGACGAGAGATCCAATTTTTCCCAACAACAGAATAATCACGGCCAACACAAGTGAATAAACAGCATTGAGCAAATGTTAAAAAGCCATCTGCAGCGTGATAAGACCTCAAGACTCCGAGCAGGATCAAATCTATCACCGCATCTGTATCTGCTCATTAAAGCAGATGAAAAGTGGAGACGGTTCCACTTCATAACACCCAGCCTTGCTCAAATGATCAGCTCTGCAAAGGCAAACCCAATAACCCCGATGGTTGATGAAGAAGCAAGCGGATATCAATGACTGTGTTGGTGCTGGAAATAGTATTAGATTCAAGGTGGAGAGGTAGGGGGAAGGAGGAAGATGAGAGCTGAATGTCCACTGAAAACTGAAACCATAAAAATGTCATTATCGGCATCAAAATCAGTTCAGCAGCGATGAAAGGGGGGAAATACAGATTTCCTCAGAGACCATGTTTAAATCCAGTACTAGAATATTATGCACAAACAAACAATGGATTAATTTCACACAACAAAACCGTGTTGAACACCAGCCCGGGCCGATTTTATTACAAG